TAATCCCACGCATGGAACTTTTTTCTGAGGTCAGCTGATTTCATTTTAGCTCCTCATGTATACCATCACTTTTTTTCCCTGAATTCTCAACAATGCAGATATTGTTTCATATAATTAAAGACATAATGTGCCCAATACACTTACTGAAGTCCTAACTAGATAACTTACTGAGTACAATTAAAATGTTAATTTATGGTTGCTTAAAAATCCTGCCATTTACATTTTCATATTTTACTCCATATTCTAAGACTTTTCTGCACTTACCAGTTGTATCTCATCAAAAAACTTATCAAAGAAACTCAAAAGTTTGAGCCACCACTTCACTCTCAATCACTCTCTTCATGTTGTTAAACAGTCTTATCCCATGATTTGTGTTTTTTCATTTGTTTTATTTTTCAGGGCCTGTTTGAAGCCAACTACTTTTTCTTCTTCCTTATGACAGTACAGGTCATTTTCTTTGACCTCTTTGCATACTTTAACATGTGTTACTTTGGGGCTGGCTGGGGGACCTTCATTGCAGCTGCACTTCTGACTTCAACTGCACAGGTAGGCTGACCTTCCTTATGGTGCATTCATTTCACTTATGTAGCTGATGATTTCCTCTTCACCTTAGTAATGATCAGGAATTCTATTTTGACCACAACCAGCTTGTATCACGAGATAGACTTGTAAAGTATTTTGCCATCTTTAGATTAACATTATACAAGTACCCTGTTTTTTGAATGTAAGTTTTGTAGTCACAGTAGCACCCATATCCGACATGATTCAGAAGGATTCCCACCTTCCTATCCCAATTTGTTTTCCTTTAATGTAATAGGAAACCCTTTTTTTGGCTCAGTGCATGCTCCACTTAGCCTACAATCAAAATTAAAAACCATGGTACTGGGTAGTCAGTCATATAAGAACTGCCAGAATCAACACACCATACATGTATGTAAGAATTCTCTCAGGGTTGCTCATAATGTTAGGGCTTCTTTCAAAAATTCATTTTTATCTGATGTGAGTTCTAATTTGAAGGTTTGGGACAAGTAAATACAAAGATCTGTTGGAGTTTGTTTCACAAGAGTATTTTTGTACATGAATGGACTAGCTTTTATTACACTAGGTACATGCACATGTACAGTACATGTTGTGCCTTGACGTCAGTATTTTGCTTTGAGAGATGTAATCTGAGCTTACAAATGAATTATGCAAACATAGCTTAGCTGTCTTCGAAGATTCCCCCCAAACTTGTTATATTTAAAATCAATTACAGACAAAGCTTGCACATGCATCTGGGTCGGTAAATGTGTTTGTATTAACTGAAATTTCATGCTACCATTGTTCATCTACAAAAAAATTATTTCCCAGTAGAACCAAAACTGTTTGGTCGGAACTGTCGTAAAATATGTTTGTTTCAAGTGGAACTTCATCTTGGCGGAGTTTGGTCTAATGACAGCTGACTAGGTGCATAAAGTCATGCTGCATTTTGAGGTAGATTCTTTTGCAAATTTGTTTGCGTTGTAGATGCTTTAAAATTCAATAATCTTCAGTCAGGTAGCTGTGTAATGGGCATTCCCACATGATTTCACCCATCAGTAATCCAGCCTTAGAATGCCCTGTAGGTCTGTCTTGCAGCTGCTGAGCTACAGTAACTACCATAGTGACTTGACATTCAGTGTCCTCCAGTGAGCCTATATGATTGCCCATGCCTCCCAACTGTAAGGTGTGATACGTCTAGCTGCATTTATTATGTAAAATACTGTACCCCAAAATGTTAGTTACCTTTCAATTATGCCAGGAGGGAAAAAAGAGAGAACAAAAAGAATTTTCCATGTCTGCTAGATTTATGTCTTTTGTCTGAACATTGCCTTCAAGGCAGTTGCTAGTTTACTCATGAGGACTATGAATCACCCCATGTTGAAGGGCATTGTTCATTATGCAACTACATGTATAATCGTAATGGCTGTTGGTGTTAAATTGACTGGTACTGTATTTTCAATGTCAATATTGTGATGGTCCACTACATTGTTTCAAGTTCTTATGGAATTAAGGAAAAATATTTACTTACTTATAATTCTTTTGTCATAAGATGTTTACTTTCCCCATGAAGACTATTTGAATCACAGCTGGAAATACATTGTAGCTAAATCAAATTTACTAAGATGAATCTCTTGAGTATCTCTTTGTTCTAGTGATAATGTTGACAGTCAGATCCTATCAGTTCTTCTTTGTCACCCAAGGGATGACATTGTTGAAGCATGAAGGGTGTCTTTGGCTAGTTCCTCAAAGGAAGGAAATTTAAACAGCATAAAGGATGACTGTCTAGACATCATAAAATAAAGACATTTATACATGTACATGTATGTGCTTGACTCAAAATTAAAGAGTGTGCCTTATTAAAGATTCTGCATTATGATTTCATTCATTAACAAGAAACCTACATGAACTACATGTATTGTCTTGATGTTTTGTGCAAACCTTGCCAGTCAGACCGCTCTGCTAAATTTAATCCCTCATTAAAATATTTTTTTCATTTTTTTTATGGGTACATTAGTTGGACAATTCCATTAAAGGTCTCTCTCAAATGACATCACTTCCTACAAATTTTGCCAGGTGCATCAGTATATTGGATGTCAAATTTTCATGATCTGCATGATCGGCTGTGCCGTATTTAGACGATATTTGGATCAGCATGTGCGTAAAATATTTGCACACTGCACACACTTGCACCTGATAGCATTGAATACACAGTTGTAATTTTTCTATGAATATGGTATCCTATGAGAGAGATCTGTAGCTAAGTTGAAACATGTTGAGTGATGGACATGTACGGTATGTCTAATGGTGGAGAGCCCATTTGCTCTTTAGCTGAAGTACTGCTACATGTGTACACATAGATACTGCATTATCTTGCATGCATATCAAACCTTTGTCATGTTTTTCTTTCAGGGTGGTGCTGTTTGTGTTCAGTGTTGTAACAGAAGTTCTGGATAGTTATGAAGATGTTGAATGATTGTTCACTGATGGATCTGTTTGTATTCTCTGTGCTGCAGGTTCAAGCGGGATGGTTTCAGCATGACCTGGGCCATCTGTCTGTCTTCAAGACTGGGAAGTGGAATCGTGCCTCCCATGCATTAATTATGGGACTTCTGAAGGTAAAAGTTATATTTACACCGTACTTCTAGAATTCTGGGATTATCATAGACAGTTGACCTGTGGTTGTCAGTATCTGAGGAGACATTTTTTCTTTTCAATACTTCCCTGACTTTTATTCAAGAATCCTCTAACTAGTGTAGTTAAGAGCCAAATAGTGGCAATCTCCAAGCGAAATAGTTTCAAGATTTGGGGAAAAACCATCTTATGGCATTTTATGGAAATAATAAACTAAACAAAACTATTTATTTCCTACCCACGTGGAGAATTCTAGAGTTGATTGTTGTCATTGTCAACAGTGAGCTGACATGACAACACTCACCTCCAGCAGAATAAAAGCATTCTGTGAATATTCACAAAGTTGGCATGTTTGTATACACTTGGCCACTAGAGTACCTCTTTCTGTTACTGTCTGGGACCCATCCTACACCCCTTCATTATCAAACAGAGTCAGTGCACCTCTGCTCTGTCTCGGTTTTGATAATTGTCAGGAATTCTATCTTATTGTCTGTCATTGAACTTTGAATGTTTGCCAGGATGTGCAAACATATGATTATTTATAATGTGTTCATGATAGATTTTTAATGTATAATCGAACACAACATACATAGTAACTTAGTAACATAACAATAGCCAAGTCTTACATGAATTTACAAAGTTACATTCTGGATTTCTTTGGAACGAGAAGATTTTAATAAAAACAAGACGGAATGGTGCGCAGGAGCTCAGGCTGAGACCCAAGACTGCAGTGGGTACTTTGCATAATAAAGCATTAGACATGCTACAATGTA